GTTGAAACAGTATACCTTAGATGTTTGTTGAAACAGTATACCTTAGATGTTTTATTGAAACCGTATACCTTAGATGTTTTGTTGAAACAGTATACCTTAGATGTTTTGTTGAAACAGTATACCTTAGACATTTTGTTGAAACAGTGTACCTTAGACATTTTGTTGAAACAGTGTACCTTAGACGTTTTGTTGAAACAGTATACCTTAGATGTTTTGTTGAAACAGTATACCTTAGATATTTTGCTTATTGTTTTACAAACATAATGTAACTAAAATTTAAATCAACCTCACAAATTCTCCAACTTCTAAGTATTAACTTGTTTTAAAACCCTAAATCAGTGTTTTTGCTGTTTCCTCAGTAGTATCACATTGTTTCATAAGTGACAACAAGATAATGGCAAACACTAAATCACTTTTTCTGCCATTGTATTAGCAGCATTACTGTTCTTTCTAAATAGAAATATTTTTTAAATCCTAAATTACTATTCTGCCACTTTATTAGTTGTGTTACCGTTATTCTTTATTAACAATATTCAGTTGTTTTTCTTGGTGTGATTTCTACATCAGCATCCTTAATTTATTTTCCACATCTTAACTTTATATTCTATAAGAAATAGACTCTAGACTCATCATCACATCCAGCAAGACATGTTGCATTTCAACTCTAAGCATTGTTTCTTACAATCTCTTTATTCTTCATTCATGGACTCAACATCTGTCTAGTCTTTCCTAATCTGTTTTTCGAATCTCCCTAGTTCTTGCTAATCTGTTTTTCGACATCTCCCTAGTCCTTGTTAATCAGTTTTTGGACATCTCCTTAGTCCTTGTTAATCAGTTTTTGGACATCTCCCTAGTCCTTGCTAATCTGTTTTTGGACATCTCCCTAGTCCTTGCTAATCTGTTTTTCGACATCTCCCTAGTCCTTGTTAATCTGTTTTTGGACATCTCCATAGTCCTTGCTAATCTGTTTTTAGACATCTCCATAGTCCTTGTTAATCAGTTTTTCGACATCTCCATAGTCCTTGTTAATCAGTTTTTCGACATCTCCATAGTCCTTGTTAATCAGTTTTTCGACATCTCCATAGTCCTTGTTAATCAGTTTTTCGACATCTCCCTAGTCCTTGTTAATCCGTTTTTGGACATCTCCATAGTCCTTGCTAATCTGTTTTCTATGTCCGAAATCCAATGAAATACATATTAAGTGAAATTTTCGATTTATCTTCATTCAAATAAATCCTACAAACCTTAACTTTAAAAAAGACAATCTCGATCTTACAGCATCAAAAAATGCTTATTTGTATCTCCCACATTAGGCCTAATAAGTTCATACTATGCTGATATGAGTGATGTAACTTATAATGGGAAAATTTGAATTATTTGTCGACAGGTATCAATGATGGACTGGCATCCTATCCAGGAGAGATTGTATTACCATTTTGATCCGCTTGTGCCTCAGGACGAGTAAAAATGATTTACTAACTTTATACTATGGTTATCCAACTATTGAAATATTTTCACACCAGCGATTTTCAAGTTTTCCGTCCGAATTTTCGTTAGATATACAACAAGTACCCACTGATACCACGTTTCCTTGTTCTACTAATCACTTTGTTTAATCCCGGTTTTAAAGGTCTTCTGAAGAAGTTGTGGTGGTAATCGTTCCTTAATGTTAAACTTTAGCAACTGGTTGAATTGGAAACACGATTTTTCTTTTTCCCTAGTACAGTTTTTCATACTAAACTAAAGATCTTCCATAGGGTCGTCCCTAGAAACACAGTTTTTCATACCTAACTAAAGATCTTCCATAGGGTCGTCCCTTGAAACACAGTTTTTCATACCTAACTAAAGATCTTCCATAGGGTCGTCCCTAGAAACACAATTTTTCATACCTAACTAAAGATCTTCCAAAGGGTCGTTCCTAGAAACACAGTTTTTCATATCTAACTAAAGATCTTCCAAAGGGTCGTCCCTAGAAACACATTTTTTTCATACCTAACTAAAGATCTTCCAAAAGGGTCGTTCCTAGAAACACAGTTTTCATACTTAATTGAAGACTTTCGAAAGATGACCACATCTTTTTTCAGGATTTACAGCTTATGAAGTCATTATCATTCTTGACATCAATCCCTAATTATCCCTGTTGCGTATTTCTCCTTAAACCTATATTCATCTCGTTAATCGTCCTGCGATTGTGAACATATTATTAATTTTCTTACTCCACAATGTTTTATTCGTATTTGCTTTGTGCTTGAAGTTCAAATGTTCGCGGTACATCGCGAGTTAGGTTTATACTAACAAAAAGGTCTAAAATATCCACACTATAATTATACATAGATCCAGGTCTCTTTTTGACATATCTGACCAACGGTAATTTCTAGTTGGTCCCTTTTAATGTATCTAACAGCCAATAATTTCTAGTTGGTCCCTATCGAAGCGTAACCTTCAATAAACATAGTTCAGAAGGAACATATTTAGTAAATTAATCGATATTTAAGGAAGAGTTGTGTCACTGCAGTAGACATTAATTACACAGGCCTGCGAATTTAAACTTCATAAAAGTTGTTTTCTTTTTTTTAGTAACGGATCTTCCATAATTCAGCTACGCAGATTTCGAAAACAATATTCATTTTTTTTTCTATCACGTAAGGATTTTTTTACAAATCGGGATGAAGAAAAAACTCGTACTTAGATCAAATTATTATTTCGTTTACTGCAATGATCATTTCTATTATCATGTTTATTAATGAGGAATACAAACAAACAGAAGAAAAGGGAAGAACATTGATGTGAAACGAACATGCATCCTCAT